AAGGGTCTAGGCCCGAAACGTCAGCTTTCTTGCTCTTCTGATGCTGCTTGGCCTGCTGTGTTCATCCAGCTCTACACCTTGTTATCTCCATAGTGCTGAATGAGCATTCACCCGCTCAACAACATTTACATTGCACTTTTGCTAGCTATCATTCATGTATAATTTGTACAGACCAAATCCACAAATCTAAATGCATTTCCCTTTGCATGAAGTGAGTTGAGATGACATATGCACATGAGTCAACTTCAATTAAATTGACACTGAATATTGTTTGGAATTTGACAGGGTGTAAAATTTGCACATCCTCTTTTATGTCTGAAATTATGACTGCCTCCCCACCCTGTGGACAGTACACCAGATCAAAATATTGGAAATTTGGTGCGGGGTGGGGGTGGGGGGTCAGTGTATTTTACCTGTAATTGCTATGGTTGTCAAAAATCCATTGTTTTAACATTGATTTTTCATTGATACTGGATTTCAGTGCAAGGATTATGGCACAGTGGCAGTGTCCCCTTCCCTGGAACAGGAGGCCAAGGTTCAAGTCCCACTGCTCCAGAGGTATGTAATAACATGGCTGAACAGGTTGGTTAGAAAAATAGGCTAATAAAAAAAACTCTAGTTATTTAGAGACAATGATATTACCCTGCATGCAAACACTGGATGCATTTCTAAGGCTTTTCTTTTTAATAGCTCTACTCAAAGGAATCTTTGACCCATTTACGTTAAATAATACTTCCAATAAATTAGAGAATAGAACAAACCTCATATGAATATATAAAGCAATCTGCTGTGAGTTTATACAAGCGTGGCTTACAGCTTTTAACTGGAAAAGATTATAAAGGTCAAGTTAAACGGAAACGTAGGTAAATCTTCCACATGGCGATTAATGCAGAAATTTCCTTACACTCCTGTAAAAGAATGTAAAAGCCAGGCTAAAAAAACAGCGGATATCCGTGAAAACAGTTGGTGCTTTGCTAAGTACGTTATGAAAACACAAACCGGTGTATAGTACAGGGTAACGTATCCCACCTTAGAAGCTGTAGTTGTGGAAGGGACAGAACTGGCCATTAAATTCGTCATCATCTCATTGCTTGCCGTGGTGCAGACAGGTGTGACTGGAGTTAGGAGACGGGAGGGAACAATTGGCAGTGGCAGAAGACCAGGTCTGTTCGTGATGTTGTTACTGTTGGCAATGCCGCTGCTGCAGTTGGTATTAGTTACATTGCTACAGCTGGAGCTTCGATCCCTCCAGTCCCACCCGATGCGATAATCTCTCTCATACCGGCTGTGATGCCGTGACATCTCCAAAGTACTCTCCTCTCTTCAAAGGAAGTTCACAGGATCTGAAATTTAAATATTTTAATATTAATAGACGGCAGCATATTTAACACCAAAAAAACTTTTGTTTGCAAATTATTTTGTAGAATTTACAGCTCGCCGATGTAAAGTAATAAAGCCAGGACAATAAAGGCATATTTTACATTTGCTGCAAAGACATCATGCACAGAAAGTCATTCTAATTCAATAACTGTTTATTTCAATTTATGCCATTGTGCTATTTTAAGTCTACAGGATGGTTTTAATCTGACGTTACAGTGTAGGTGATGCAAATGAACAGATTTCCATCTTGCTGAGTAAATGAAAAAAGAAACAGAGCAGGTTTCTTGAATAATTCGACTAAAGTTGCATTTTATGAATATATTCTGAAACTAAGTTGTTTATTTCAGTGATAATTTTGTTTGATAGATGACGTTTATTAACCGTTTAAAACAAAAACCATATTGTGCACTTCTGAAAAGCCTGCTTCACATTCATTAAACACTGGAGATAAAAGACTTCAAGAAAGCATTATTTACACAAATGTAAGTTTCTGATGGATATTCTCACAGCCAAGTCCTCTGTATTCCTCGTCATTTGGCAGTGTAGAAGATTTTGACTGTAAATAAGGTCCCTATTCCTCCTCAAGAGGAGCACATGAAAAGAGTAGCAATTTGTTCTTGCACAAAACATAGTCTTTGCACAGATGTCCTATTGGAGGATTCATTCAAAGAATAAGATTGCAATGTGTTTTTAACCCTTCTCCCTTTTTCACATTTTTCCATAAAATGTGGAGAGGATGTACTGAAGTGTGGAGCTGCTCCTAAACTTTGGTGCTCATTAGAAACCATTTTCCAGGAGATACATGCGAGCAGACAACATGATTGTCCATGCAATGTTTTTTCTAAAAAAGAACTTGTGCCAGATTTCCAAAGCAGCAACAGGAGCGCAATGTCTGAAAGAATTTCAGATCCCAATCCCCTTCCCAAGTTACGAATGAATATGAATGAGTGAATGAATAATTTATTGTCAAGTCCTGCTTCCAATATGATGTTCAAATTCAAATGGCCCGATTGGCCAGGAGGCACTGAGCATCTTAAGGAAGCAGGTACAGTCACCCTGAAAGCAGCAAATCCAGGTGGCAGCCATACTGGGGACTGTCATTGCTTTGTCATTTCAGTAGACATCTCCTCAGGGGGCTAGGAGGTCAAACCAGGTAGACAGCGGCCTTATCCAACTTTGGTTTTCACTCAGTGACCTCCCCACAAACTGCAAATAGGAATTCAATATCTGGGGAGAAGAGACAAAATGCTTTTGCAAGTGTGTCGAATAAGAAGCAGGAACACAGTCTGATGCCATGTCACTCATGAAGATTCACAAGGACCTATCCACCTGTCCCATATCTCCATGATAAGTCTAAACCTTCACAGAATCCCTACAGTGTGGAAGCAGGCCATTCAGCCCATCAAGTCCACACCAACCCACCCCCCCATACCCTATTACTGCATTTCCACTTAGACTGCAGATCCCTGGACACTTTAGCATGGCCAATCCACCTAACCTGTACACCTTTGGACTATGGGAGGAAACCAGAGCACCCAGCAGAACCCAACCAGACACAGGGAGAACATGCAAACCCTACACAGAAGTAACCCAAGGGTTTAATTGAACCCAGGTCCCTGGTGCTGTGAGGCAACAATGCTAACCACTCAGCCACCATGCCACCCTTTACTCACCTTTATTTTAGTCACTTCAAACAATGTTTCATAAGGAAACTCAAACAGATGCTATGCTTATAAATAAAATTGATACATATTCAATACAACATAGGAACAGGCCCTTCGGCCCACATGTACAGCTCTGTGCAGATATTATGCTCGCTACTGACATGTTAGTACACAGTACAATGTGAGGTTTCTAAACTATCCATCTCCATTTCATATATATATAAACTGGCCTTGGCATTACATCCTCAACAACCAGATGCAATGGTGTGATAACTTTGGAATTACCAATAAATAAGCTGAACAAACATGGAAGAATCTGTTGCCAGTCAACAATGAATCATCCTTTTTTGTTCAAACTTGACAACATCACCAACTTCAGCTTATTGTGGGTCCTTTGGCTTTTTCACATTGTTAGCAGACGTGACTTACTGTGCAATTAATCATATTTTATATTTAATTTTTCACTGCTTCTGGGAGCTGTCACAACTTTACTGTCATGATTTGTAGTTTCACGAAATATATTTAGTAAACAGCGCTGTCAAATTTTGTGTTAGGAAAACAGTTGGATCCTGCCTCTGCAATGGATAGCATTGTCAGCAACAGAAAGTGATTGAGCTCCCCTATAATATGTTCTTCACTATAATGAATTACCTCTCTAACCTGCTTGAAAGGATAACAATCCTCTGCATTGTTATTCCCCAGCATCTGGGTGCAGTGAGTTAAGTTATTGTGAGTACAGAAATATTGTATCACACATAACAACAGGACTATAGCAGGATCTCGTTTACAAATGGTAACCATTCTTCTGCACAGTTTGATTTCTAGTAGTACTTTCTTCATTTGCTGGTGAGAAATCACTGAAGATAAATAGACACAAAGAGCCAAATCAAATTTGGTCCACTACCATACACCATACTTGATCATTACAATGCCTTAATTCATTACCAATAGTAGCAAACTTTCCTTTAAGGAAAAACATGCTATTACAGTCATTGGCCAGACTCACTCAGTAAGTTACAACAATAATAAACTAGTTTCAAAATTTTCTAAATTTTAAAAACTAAAATTAAAACAGAAAAATGCAAAAAGCCAGATACAGCACCAAATGCTCCAAAACTGTGAATGACCTATGGCTAGCTCCTCCTTCATCCTATGATGGAAGAAAAACAAATTTGAATATTAAGTCGGCAATGTATTCTAATTCATATTTTCAGTCACTGTTTGGAGTTTGAGTAAATAAAAATGACAGATTATCAAGTATAGGAAAGGAGATCCAATACTGGGGAAGGAGGTAACAAGGTGTAGAGCTGGATGAGCATAGCAGGCCAAGCAGCATCAGAGGAGCAGGAAAGCTGATGTTTCAGGTCTAGACCCTTCTTCAGAAAAAGGGGAAGGAGGGGGCTGTTTCAATGGGACAGCTCCACCTGAATCATGCTAGGACCAGAGCACGGCTTCATCAGGGAGAGGTCATGCCTAACAAATCTGTTAGAAATCATTGAGGAGGTAATGAGTAAGTAGACAAAGGAGAGCCGGAGGATGTGATCTATTTGGGTTTCCAGAAGGCCTTTGACAAAGTGCAGCACAGGAGGCTTCTAAACAAGATCAGAACTCATGATGTTAGGGGGCAATGTACTGACGTAGATAGAGGATTGGTTGACTAGCAGAAGGCAGGAAGTGTGGATAAAGGGGTCTTTTTCAGGATGGCAGCCGGTGACTAGTGGAGTTCTACTGGGGTGAGTGTTGGGACCAGGACTATTCACATCGTACATTAATGATCCCAGATAAAGGAACTGACAGCACTGTTACAATGCAGATGACACAAAGATAGGTGGCGGAACAGGTAGTGTTGAGGGAGTGGAGAGGTTGCAGAAGGACTTGGAGAGTGGGCAAAGAAGTGGCAGATGGAATACAATGTGGGAAAGTGTGAAGTTATGCACTTTGTTCAGAAGAATAGAGGAATAGACTATTTTCTAAATGGGGAAAGACTTCAGAAGTCTGAAGCAGAAAGGGACTTGGGAGTTCTAATTCAGGATTCTCTGAAGATTAACATGCAAGTTCAGTTGGCAGTTAGGAAGGCAAATGCAAAGTTTGCATTTGTTCCAAGACAGCTAAAAAGAAGAGCAGGGATGTCCTGTTGAGGCTGTGTAAAGCTCTGCTCATGCCGCGTTTGGAATATTGAGAGTAGTTTGGGGCCTCGTATCTAAGGAAGAATGTGCTGGTCTTAGAGATGCTCCAGAGGAAATGTAGAAGCATAATCCTGGGGATGAAGGGCTTGTCATATAAGGAGCAATTGAAGACTCTGGGTCTGTACTTGATAGAATTTAGAAGGATTAGGAGAGATCTGATTGAAAGTCACAGAATACTGAGAGGCCTGGATACAGCGGACGTGGAGAAGATGTTTCCACTAGTAGGACAGACTAGGACCTAAGAGCACAGCCTCAGAGTGAAGGAACTCCCCTTTAAAACTGAGATGAGGAGGGATTTCTTCAGCCAGAGGCTGGTGGATCAGTGATACTCATTGCCACAGAAGGCTGTGGAGGCCAAGTCATTGAGTGTATTTAAGATAAAGATAGACAGTTTCTTGGTTGGTAAGGGGATCAAGGGTTACGGGGAGAAAGTGGGAGAATGGGATTGGGAAACATATCAGCCATGATTGAATTGTGGAGCAGAAGAGCAGACTCAATGGGTTGAATAGCCGAATTCTGATCTTATATCTTATGGTCTTATCATGCAATCACGTCTGTCAATCATTCCATTGTACTCTGGGGCGAGAGATAGTTGTTAATATTATTCACACGATTAAAAAAAATCAGAGAATTAGATTCTCCTACTCTGTTTAATGGCCACAAGCAATTTTTGCATGCTGAAAAAGCAATGAAAAACCTATCAATCAAATCCTTCAGCTTACTATTTAAGGTCAGGATAGTAGTCAGAGAATTTTATGTATTTGTAATCCATTAGGAAGCCTGTTTCCTGGAGCATACTTATCACCAATATATTGGGGATTGAAACATCAGTGCAGCATAAAATAAAAATCAGGTTAGTAGATATGAATTATTCACTTTTGATTTTCCTAGATATTTTACAGCATATTAAATACAGCACAAATTACACTTACATTTTCAGAACTGAGATTTAATCACCTAAATTTAAAATAGAGATCAATTTGGGTGCCAGAATTGGAACCCAATTGTTATTCCTTGGGACATTTCAAAATCTGTGCTCAGTGCTGAAATTTGAGGAAAGATTCAGGCACCCCCATGC